AAAAAAGTGGCTGCCGCTTTTTTTCGGCATGGAGCTTTGCCGGAAAAAAGTACCAGTCTAGACGCGGATCTTTCGGAAAAGAAAGCCTTTTCTGAAAGATCCCTTATCCCTTATTTTAAGAGGAATAAGGGATCTTTCGGAAAGGTCTTTATTTTCCAAAAGATCCGTGTCTAGACTGGTGCTTTTTTCTGGCAAAGCCTCATGCCGAAAAAAAGTGGCAGCCATTTTTATGCTAATGAAATGGGAGAAATTTAAATCCCTGCTTCATTAGCAATTGCGATACGTCTAATTTGCATCCCTTTTACGAAAAAGGAATGCAGTCTAGACGTAGCCTTTGAAACAATATGCATGTTTTAAGGTCATTGAGAGTATGGTCAGTCTGGTTAAAATGGCAAGTAACAGTTTTCTCTCTGAGACAGAGCCTGATGTCTGTTTTATGTGCATTGATTCTTTGGTGAAGTGTCTGAGAAGTTTGTCCAATATACATAGCAGACGTACACTTTAGGCACATGATGGCATACATTATATTTCTGGATGAACAGGAATATGTGTTCTTGATCTTGTAACTCGCATGGTTAGGTCCAATAATGGTGTCAGCTGAATAAATATGTGGACAAAGCTGGCACCTGGGTTTGTTGCAAGGGAAAGTTCCAGGGTTGGTATTAGTGTGGTATGTCCTGTGGTTGTTGGTAAGAATCATCCTGAGGTTAGGTGGTTGTCTATAGGAGACTATGGGTCTGTGTCCCAGAGCCTCTCAGAGGGCAGTATCCTGTACCAGTATAGGTTGTAGTTTATTGATAATGCGTTGGACGGGTTTAAGTTGGAGGCTATAGGTGATGACAAGTGGTGTTCTATTGTTGGTTTTCTTGGGTCTGTCTTGAAGAAGATGGTTTCTGGGTCTTTATTTCTCCAAGTGGGTAATTGAGGTTTATAAATGCTTGGTAGAGATCCTGAAGTTTCTGGTCTCTGTCAGTGGGATTAGAGCAGATGCGGTTGTATCGAAGGGTTTGGCTATAGACGATGGATCGTATGGTGTGTCCTGGATGGGAGCTGGAGTCATGTAGATAACTGTAGGAGTCAGTGTGTTTTCTGTAGAGAGTGGTGTCCAATCATGCTTAAATTTGACACTTTACATATTTACATATGGGTCTTAACAAAGATGGTACTAGTAGTTTGGAAACTACTTTTTTTTAAATTTCCTTGTAAGACAATTCCAGTTTATGACCGGCTCTCCTATTCACTACAAAATATGCCATCATATTGTATTCCTACAGAGACACTGTGAAGAAAACTTCATTAATGTAAAGGTTGTGAATGTAAGAATCTATAGTAAGCATGGCTTTGTCTAAAAATACTTGTTTTACTAATGACCTTTTTTTGTCAGAGAACTTGAGCAGTGAAAGTGTGAGAGATTTATGGATGTGTGACTGTGTTTACAAAACAACATGCCTGATGTTTCCTAGGAATTCCTTGGAATGAAATATTGCATGTCAAACAGTAATGTGTCTAGGAGCCAAAGTGTAAAAAGGAGGTTTTGAAGAGAAGGTTCCTTATCATTAGAAATCAGCCCTAGCTTCTAATTCCATAAAACAGACCATTTACTTTCCCCTCGATATTTCAAACTTATTCTCCACCCCAACCCACAGAAATCCCAATTCAAACCAATTTTGTTTCAAATACAGAATTGGGAGAAACTCACATTCTCTTAGTATGAAACAGCAGTTGGAAGAGGAGTGTGTCCATTCCCTTTTCATCTCTCCAACTCCTTCACCACACCAAACATGGAAACTTCCTTTCACATGCATCTTTGCTTTATGTTCCTGCAAAGAATGTTCTCAGAACAAAGCATCAACAGGTGCCAGGAAATAAGACACAGTGCAAGTGAATGATTTCTTTCCCAGTTCTGACAACATGAGCAAAACAAGAAAATGTTAACACTGACAAATAAGTTTGGCTTCAGATCCTCTGAACTCCGCAACAGATGTTTGATGCTAGACAAACATGTTATATATGATATTAATACAGAAAAATTGCACTCAGAATGCCCTTTTCATCCTAGTACAGCATTTTAAATACTGTAGATAAGTTTTGTCAAAGCCCTAGTGGGGCTAGTGAAACTGATTCCTCACTACAGCCTAGCTTTAACCAAGACCTGTTCATTGTCTATCTATATAAAATAAGGTGTATATTATTCTTTGCATTATAGTAGATAATAGTGGTTTCCACAGACTAGTTTAGGGAGAGTATTCTATCCACCAGGAGCAGCAAGGTAAAAAGCATGTGAAAATTTATAGGAACAACAGGACAAAAGAGGATTTAAGGCTGGCAACTTTGGCAGAGCTGGAAGAGGATTAAGAGTCAGAAGTGTGTAAGTATGGGGAGAGATCTGTTTAAAGGTCTTGAAAGTGACGATGAAAACACTTGAAATTGAGAAAGGGAAGCTAATACAGACATTTCTTGAATCCTGGTAAAACAAAAGGAAAAAATATGTATCACTTTAAAGACTAACAAGATAGTTTATTAGGTGATGAGCTTTCATGGGGCAGACCCACGGATCTGAAGAAGTAAGTCTGCCCCACAAAAGCTTATCACCTAATAAACTATCTTATTGGTCTTTAAATTGCTACATATTTTTTCCTTTTGTTTTACCAAGATCAGACTAACACGGCTACCTCTCTATTACTTTTCTTGAATCCTATTAAAGTTTTGCATTTGCTAGCAGATCCAGAGATGTAATTATTCCCCTTTATTTGGCTCTGGTGAGGCCACATCTGGAGTATTGTGTCCAGTGCTGGGCCCCCCCCTACAAAAACGATGTGGACACACTGGAGAGGGTCCAGTGAAGGGCAACCAAAATGATTAGGGGGCTGAGGAATATGACCTATGAGGAGAGGCTGAGGGAGTTCGGTCTGTTTAGTCTGCAGAAGCGAAGAGTGAGGGGGGATTTGATAGCAGCCTTCAACTTCCTGAAGGGAGGTTCCAAAGAGGACGGATAAGGCTGTTCTCAGTAATGACAGATGGCAGAACATGGAGCAATGGACTCAAGTTTTGGTGGGAGAGGTCCAGGTTGGATATTAGGAAAAACTATTTTACTAGGAGAGTAGTGAAGCACTGGAATGGGTTGCCTAGAGACATGGTAGATTCTCCATCACTAGAAGTTTTTTAAGTTTGACAAAGCCCTGACTAGAAGGATTTATTTGGGATTGGTCCTGCGTTGGGCAGAGGGTTGGACTCAGTGACCTCCTGAGTTCTCTTTTAGTTGGGATTCATTCTGCCTAGAGCAGAGAGCTGTACTTGATGACCTTCTGAGGTCTCTTCCAGCTCTATGGTTCTATGAAAGTTCTGTCTTCACAACATCCTCTGGCAAGGAGTTCCACAGGTTGACTATGTGCTGCGTGAAAAAAAAACTTCCTTTTGTTTGTTTTGAACCTGCTACCTATTAATTTCACTTGGTGACCCCTAGTTCTTTTGTTATGGGAACAAGTAAATAACTTTTCTTTATTCACTTTCTGCATACCTGTCATGATTTTATAGACCTCTATCATATCCTCCCTTAATCGCCTCTTTTCTAAACTGAAAAGTCTCAGTCTTTTTAATCTATCTTCATATGGCACCCATTCCAAACTCCTAATCGTTTTGCTTGTCTTTTCTGAATCTTTTCCAATGCCAAGCTATTTCTAAGATGAGACAGCCACATCTATATGCAGTATTCAAGATGTGGGCATACCATTGATCTATAGATAGGCAATAAGATACTCTGTCTTACTCTCCACCTCTTTTTTAATGATTCCTAACATTCTGTTCACTTTTTTGACTGCTGCTGCACATTGAGTGGATGTTTTCAGAGAACTATCCACAATGATGGCTACTGTAGATAAGATCTCTCTCTCTCGAGTGGTTAAAGCTAAATTAGTACCCATCATATAATATGCGTAGTTGGAATTATTTTTTCCAATGTGCACTATTTTGCATTTATCAATAGTCAAACTCATTTGCCATTTTGTTGATTGGCTGAATGGCCTTGGAAAAGTCACTTTGTCTTTGGTTCAGTTTCCATGCCTCTAAGATAAGGCAAATAATTACGTCACATAGGTATTGTAAAGTTTACTTAATGTTTGTACTTTGCTTTGAGTGCTATAATTTATTGTAGAGTACTGATGGGACAAATTTTTAAGAACTCATAACACGGCCACAGTCATAATTCTCTATGACAATCTAAAACTGCACAGCTACATCGTGTAACTTCGGGCACAATTCTAAAAAGCTACATTGCCTCAAGTTTATGATTTTAATAGTAGAGGTACCTAGATTAATAATATTCAATTGGTGTATATAGAATTTTCAACACTGAAGAGAACAAGATTAGAAAAATAGTAAAATTTTTTCTGCAGTCTAGTGTATCTGCCCTTTCAGGCAAAGAACATACGGGTATAAGGAGAGTGAGAAAAGTTTCTTTCTAGGTGTAATAGTGTTTCATTAGTTAGTGGCAGGGGAAGGTAGATACGTTGGGCAGGCTAACTCCTATATTAGCATTAGGCAGAGCATAATCATCATGAAGCAACACAGCAGCAATAACTGCTTAAAGGGCCAGTCAGGACAGAATGGCCTTACTGGGGCAGACCAAAGGTACATCTAGCCCAGTATCCTGTCTGCCAACAGTGGCCAACACCAGATGCCCAAGAGGGAGGGAACACACAGGTAATCCTCTTGTGATCCTTCTCCTGTCACTCATTTTCAGACAGAGTAGGGACACCATTCCTACCCATTCTGGCTAACAGCCATTGATGGACCTAACCTCCATGAATCTATCTAGCTCTTTTCTGAATCCTGTTAAAGTCCTAGCCTTCACCATATCCCCTAAGGCTTGTGTTGTTTTGTTTACTCTTTAAGAGCAAAATCTCTGAATATTAAAGACCAAAGGGACTATATTGGCTCTGAGCCTAAAAACAATCTGGTAATATGGCTTTGTTGAGTTCTGGGACAATTCTGATTTAATAAGAGTGTTCCTATGAAAGATACAATTCACACTCAGACAGGCTCTCTGTGCCATGCAAATCAGGAGAGATCTTTGATGTATACAGCTTCTAGTTCACTGTACAACTACAGGTCAACTACTATTAACACTTTTGATTTAAGTTTGAATATATATTGGGTGTCTTAAGAGTCTGAGAATGTTCCCAGATTTAATTGGGATAAAAAACCAGCCAGTTTGGTTGATGCTATATATCTCCTACTATTCCCACATACACCTTTTGAATCCAAACAGCAAATTCCACATAATTCTCAGTCATGGTGAAAAAGTACAAAAGGATTGCTGCTACAAAATGAATCATCTGCTTTAGTAGTTTTTTAAATTAAAATATGGTGAGGAATTGCCAGCTTAATTAATTCACACGTGAGCTATATTGTGGAACTATTTGAGCAAGAGAGAAGTTTAATTATTAGAGTTGAGGGTTTCATATTGCCTCCTCCAAGTGGTACCATCTTAAAACCATAGGATCACACACTTATGAAGCAGAAGGGAGGAGCCACTCAGATACACACAGATATCCATTATATAATCTCATACTACAGTGATGAACACAATCCAATAATCCAGGCAGATGAATAGATCATCAGATTAGATGATGATGATCTCTCTTCTTTCCTCCCTCCTTTCATTTACAAGGAAACAGTTAGTGTTGAACTTTAAATCATCATCATTATTCTTCAGAGTCAACACATAGTGAGAAGAAAGGGGGCTAGTTTATAGCTTTAGGAGGAAGCTTGTTTCAGACATCTTACTGTAGCTATTTACTGTGATTCACATTGAGTGATCTAGAATTTTTATAATTGAAAAGACGTGAAATAATAACTTGTTTCTTCAGTGAGAAATCCCAATTTCCAAAACTAATCTCTACACTAGGTTAGTTATAAGGCTCTAATCCTGTAATGAGTTTCACATAAGCAGGTAGGCCTCTGCAATGGTACAGAGACCCACTGACTTCAATAAGGATTGATCTGAGTGCAAAGGGTAAAATTTTCAAAAGTGCCAAAGTGACTTTGAAGCCTAAGTCCCATTTTAAAAGCTGGGGCATTTGGGGCAAGGTTTACAAAATGGGCTTAGACCCTCCACTGTAGGTATCACTGAGATTATCAAAACCATGCAGGTGCCTAAAATCCCTGACCACCTCAGCTTCTGAGGACACAATTCCAAAGCCATCTGAGTTGCTAGTGAACTTGCAAAGGCTGCTGAGCTGCTGAGTTCCTAGCTCATTTCCAAACCCCAACACGAGTAATGGATTAGTCCATCTATCTTGCCTGTGGATCCCAATCCAGAGGTGTGCTCAGTGCATGCCTAATGTGCATAAAAGACAAACAGATTAGCAACAGCAGCGTCCATTCTATTCAATAGCCGAAATGGGTAGATTGCTGACCTGGGGAGTAGGAAACCTGGAAATAAGTCTCTGTTCTGAGATATGGTCTTAAAAGTAGGCCTCCAACACTGCACACGAGTATCCTCAAGCCCAAGCTAGTGAATCATCTGATAGGAAGGGAAGTAGTCTCAATTTCTCCTATTGAAGCTGTTCTATCTCATAGAAAATAATAACATTCACAAGGACTAAGACAATGAAAATGACTTTGTATCCCAATGGTTAGAGCACTTACATGGGATGGCTGAGTTCCAAGTCTTGCCCCGGCCTTAAGAATATTTAGTTATTCACCCAAAATAGAATAGTTCTAACAGAAGAAAGTGAGCAAGCCTGAACTCAGCCTAGCTCTCAGGGCACTCTCCTGGGACCTAAATTCAAATCCTTGCTCCAACTCAGGCACAGCAGGGATTGGAAAATACATTCTACATTCAAGGTGAGTGCCCACCAGCCACTGGGCTATTGGGTAGGATGCAGTGAGTCTTACTCTCTCATTTTTCATGGGACAGACTGTTTTGCCCTGCCCTAAGCTCCTAACTTCAGCAGTGGGTTCCAAGCTATGAATTCTGACCCGAGATAAGTACCTCCCTTCAGCATTTCCTCTGTGCTAGCTTAGGGTACGTCTACACTGCAAGCTTATTTTGGAAAAAGCTATTAAGGAAGATATCTTCTGAAATAGCTTATTTCAAAATAGAGCATCTACACTACAGAGAAGCTGCCAAATTAATCCAAGGCAAGCTCTCCTAATGTGGACACGCTCTCTCAATTTAGAGCCCCAGGAGGCACTGGGGAGGAATAACTTAGAATGGCCCTGGTGAGGAGCTATTTTGACATAGCTGCAGTGAAGCGTCCACACACAACCTCTTCCAAAAGAGCTTTTTTGGAAAGAGGTGTTATTCCTCGTGGAATGAAGTTTATCAACGTCAGAAAAAGCCTTCCGTTATTTTGATATTCTTTCGAAATAACAGTTGTGTGGACACGAGTATTGTTTTTCTCGAATAACAGCCATTATTCTGGAATAGCAGTGCAGTGTAAACGCCTCCTTAGATAGCGTCTATGAATCCCATTTGTAGGTGCCTAA